GGCAAATTTGGGAAGCACTGCTATTTCTCATGCTCTCTGAACTTCAGTGGCTCAGAATCCTCCTCCTGCCTGCATCTATGTCCAAGTGTGGTGGAGTGCCTTCCTTGGGTAAATGCTACCTTTCACCCTTTCACTCTGAAGGTATTTGTTAGAGTTTGCTTCCCAAAGTAGAGCTTTCTTGATCCATCATAGAATACAGAAAACAGGTATCTTAGCTATCAAGAGGTTTTACATTAAGGTTATCAAAGAATTAAAATCTCACTTGCTTTACTTAGGGGGGTACTGTCATTTACTAAATGCTCTCCATAAGTTTCCTGAAGTATTGTGCCTTTTAACTTCTGATGTTCTCTGCTTTCTATTATATTCATGTAACTTAGTATCAGATATTTATAGAAGAGTCATGATACAGGCCTTAGTTTCTTTGTAGCTAAGAAAGATTGTCTAGCCCTACCTGGTTTGGCTCAGTGGATAGAGCATCCGTCTGTGGACTGAAGGGTCCCGGGTTCAATTCCAGTCAAGGGCACATGCCTGAGTTGCAAACTCAATCCCCAGTGTGGGACGTGCAGGAGGCAGCCAATCAATGATTTTCTCTCATCATTGATGTTTCTCTCTCTCCCTCTCCCTTCCTGTCTAAAATTAATTTAAAAAATATGTAAAAAGGAAAGATTGTCTAGTGGTTAGAGGGCTCTAACCACTTTGCATGCCAGACTAAATAACTTAAAGCAAATATCTTCTTAGTTTTTCCTATCCTTATTTCATTATCAATGAAAAGAACCAGTAACTCTTGTTCATGAAGTAATTTTAGGCACTGAGGTAAAAGTTGTCAATAGGTATGTTATATTTCTAGGAATTCTTTAAGAGATGTGAGGTACCCCTAGATAAGCTGTATCACTTAGCCATTAAACTTTTTACACTTCTAAGAAGATATTATGCTTTCTTGACCAGCTGGAAACAGAAAGATGCCATGTGGATGCTGAGCAGCTACAGGGCATATCTTAGCTCTCAGTAACATTTTCTTGCCCATGGGGCATTTCTCTAGAATGAACATAATTTATTCTTTTGAAAAACACAATAACTTTCCTGGAGTTAGACATCATGTTTGTGAATTGAGAGTTGGTCTTTGTTAATACCCTCTGACAGTTTACATTTTTGTTAAACAACTAGGAGAGCCATGTCTTTTCCGGGTGTAGTAAGTTTTACAATACTTGAATTTGTCAGTGTCAGCCCTCATTAGAATCACCTTTCCAGGAACAGCTCTTTGATGATAACTGAAACCTAGACTCATGAGATAGAATGAATTCTTAGAAATTAGCAATTTATTTTTCTCTGCACAATGAGTATAAATCAGACATAACAAATCTCTCTCTAGTCACAGCCCTTTAAGGTTCATTTTTCTCAAGCAACTCATCATTTTCTTCTATTTTATGTAATGCCCCTGCAGCACATGAAGGATGCTATGTTAGTATTTCTATTTTCTATTACTTTTATTTTTCTACTAGAGGCCCGGTGCACAAATTCGTGCATGGGTGGGGTCCCTCAGCCTGGCCAGTGAGAGAAGCCTATCTGGGGGACAGCCGGCTAGGGGGAGGGACCCCAGGAGGTTGGTTTGCAAGGCCCCGATCAGGGCCATTGGGGGGACCGGCAGGCCAATCTCCTGCAGTCCCTCCCCCTTGCCAGACAACCCCCCCCCCTCCGATTGGGGCCACTGAGGGGAGAGGAACCAGCCAGGGGGAAGGGCCATGGATGGTTGGCTGTGGGAGCACACTGACCACCAGGGGGAAGCTCCTGCATTGAGCATCTGCCCCCTGGTGGTCAGTGCACGTCATAGCAACTGGTCGACTGGTCATTCAGTCATAGCAGTCACTTAGGCTTTTATATATATAGATTGCTTCTTAACTATCAATGATAGCATTGAGTAGCTCACTTTTTTCAAAGTTACTTTTATTTATCTTTAATGAAAACAATATAGAAATCATTATTTTTCCTGATAAAAGCAATAAAAAGGAGGATATTAATTTAGATAGTTATTACCTATGGCATTAAATATTAAGAAATATATTTGAAATATTTATAATCCCTCTAAGTGGAAGTATTTTTCACCAGACACCTTTGGATATTTCCTGTATTATGGCCCATTTGGAGCTAACCTGGCAAGGAATACACCGCTCAGTGCTGAGGAGGTTTTAACTGGCATCAAGTGGCCTCTAAATGATTATAAGCTGCTCCAAAATACACAATTCTCATATTTACACTTTTTGAAAAAGTGACTTTCCCACTGTGATCTTGATCATTTCCAATGTTTTCATGCCTCCCTGAAGACCTGCATTTACATCTGGTAGCACTTCCCTTCAGTCTGAAGAACTTTCTTCAGCATTTCTTATGGTGCAAGTCTTTGGGTGAGAAATTCTTGCATTTACATTTGTCTAAAAATATATTTATCTCATCTTCATTCTTGAAAGATATTTTCTCTGAATATAGAACTCTGAGTAAATAGATATTTCTATTTTCTCCTGTACTTTAAAGATATTGTTCCCCTGACTTCTGGCCTTTGTTGTTTCTAAAAAACAACAAAGTATTCTATTGATAATGCCCTGCATTTAATGTGTTGTTTTTTTCTGGCTGCTTTGAAAATTTCTCTCTTTTTTAAAAAGTTTTATAAGACATAAACAACATACAGTACTGTAGTTTAAGATGTAATTAATGACTTTAATTACATGTATTGTGAAATTATTATCACAATAAGTTTAAGGAGTTAAAGGTTTTCAGCAGTTTTACTATGATATTCCTAGTCACACTTTTTTCACACTTATCCAGCTTTGGATTCACTGAGTTCTTTGAATATATAATCTATTTCATCAAATTTGAGAAATCTGCCCTGACTGGTTTGGCTCAGTGGATAGAGCGTCGGCCTGAGGACTCAAGGGTACCAGGTTCGATTCCGGTCAAGGGCATGTACCTGGGTTGCGGGCACATCCCCAGTGGGGGGCGTGCAGGAGGCAGCTGATTGATGTTTCTCTGTCATCGATGTTTCTAACTCTCTATCCCTCTCCCTTCCTCTCTGTAAAAAAACAATAAAATGTATTTTTAAAAAATTGAGAAATCTTCAACTATTTTTTCTTCAAAGATTTTGAATAATTTAGTTTCCCCTATTTCTGTGATTCCAGTTAGTTTCTCTCTGTTCTACAGATTGGATAAATGTGTATTATTCTCTTTAAGTTCTCTATTTTGTCATCTGCATTCTACTGTTAGGTTTATCCAATTACTTTTATTTCAGATATCTTCAGATATTTTATTTTTCAGTTTTAGAATTTCCATTTGGTTCTTTTTTAAAGTTTCTATTTCTCAACTAAGGTTTACTACCTTTTCATTCATTATAAATACATTTCCTTTATGTCACTGAGATAATTATAATAGCTGCTTTAACTCCTTGTCTTCTAAATGCCGTATCTGGTTGATTTCAAGTTTGGTTTCTATTGATTGTCTTTTTTCTTGAAGATGGATCATCTCATCCTAGTTCTTTGTGTCATGTACATTGTGAATATTTTTTATTTTTTAACATATTTTTATTGATTTCAGAGAGGAAGGGAGAGAGAGGATAGAAACATCAATGATGAAAGAAAATCATTGATGGGCTGCCTTCTGCACGTCCCCCACTGGGGATTGAGCCCACAACCTGGGCATATGCCTTGACCAGAATAGAACCATGACCTCCTGGTTCTTAGGTCGATGCTCAACCACTGAGCCACGCAGGCTGGGCTGAATATTTTTTCTTTTAAAACTCTGGATTATTTTATGTTCTTCCAAAGAATGTTGACTTTGCCCTCCTTTGTTTTAAATGGTTAATTTTATTTATTAGAGTTAAGCTGAAAATTATCTATCTCAGATGGCAGCTCAAATCTCAATTCAGTTCTTTTAGCCTTAGCTGTGTTATTTGGAATCTGCACTGTGCTTCTATGATTCATGGGTTATATAGAAATTTGAATAGATCTTATTCACAGAATTTGAATTTCTCTATCTTTGGCTCTCTTCGTTCTGAGACTGTGGTTACCCTGTACTGTCTTATTTATTTCTTTAAGATATAAAGAACATGGATTTTCTATTAAAAATTTAGCAGTCCTGTGAGGTGGTCTGCTCCCAGACTAAAAGGCCCTTTAAAAACTGGGAGACCCACACCCTTCTTCCAAGTGTCAGCTCCTCTTCAGAATATGCCTGCTTTTGTTCACTCTCCACTGCCATTGAGTAGTTAGCGGTTTGCTTTGGTTTTGTGTTTTGTTTGCAAAGTATATTTATTATCTACTAGAGGCCTGGTGCACGAATTCGTGCACAGGTGGGGTCCAGCCAGCCCACCCCAATGGGGGCCCACTGGATCAGGCCGGCAGGGAGCAGAGGCCATGGGTGGTTGGCCAGCCAGCCCCACCCACGATCAGGGTGTTGGGGGCCGACTGGGGACCAGGTTGGCCCGGGGTGGGAGGGGGGCCGATCAGGGCCCGGATCAGGCTGGTTGGCTACCACAATGCGAGTCATAGCCACCAGTCATTCTGGTCATTCTGGTCGTTCCACCATTCCAGTCACAGGGCTTTTATATATATAGATGGAAGTGGTGATCTGGTAGAAGCTCATTCCTGACTATTCATTTTTGCTGTAACTTCTAAACCTTCAAAAGTTTGAGTAAGAGTTCTGTTGAATACTCTACCCAAAAAAACTTGAAAACAAGTACTTTCTGATATGAGAGGGATATAAAAATTATCAACTGCCAGAGCTCTGGGTATGGAAAGAAAGCCTAATGCAAGACAGAGTGTACAAAGTCTGCTTTGTTTTATTGAGATTATTTTAGCTTCAACATGACCCTTTGCCTTTGCTTTTGCCTTTGCCTTTGCCTTAAGAGAACTCTGAAATTTTGTTATATGTCAACAAACCTGCTTTATCTTATCCTTAACTCTGATCATTTTATCAACATTTTTGAGGCTTTCCCACCTAAAAAACATACCTTTTAACTTTAGGAAATCCGTAACATACATAATGATGAATTAATGGGAATCAGGAGAGAAGAAGAAATGGAGATGTCTGATGATGAAATAGAAGAAAAAACAGAAACAAAAGAAACTGAGGAATCAGGTAAAGATAATTCTGCTTTGTTTTATTTGAATAACATCTTGCAAGGATGGTATTTTTTTAATATATTTTATTGATTTTTTACAGAGAGGAAGGGACAGAGATAGAGAGTTAGAAACACCTATGAGAGAGAAACATCGATCAGCTACCTCTTGCACACCTCCTACTGGGGATGTGCCCGCAACCAAGGTACATGCCCCTGACTGGAATCAAACCTGGGACCCTTCAGTCTGCAGGCCGATGCTCTATCCACTGAGCCAAACCGGTTAGGGCAACGATGGTATTTTAAAAGCATTAATACCCAGTAAGTGATGGGCACAAACCTATCAGATTGAACTAGCTAAAAACAATTGGTGAGGACAGGACCTTACTGTGAGACAGAAGCCATGGTGTGGGTCCACAGTGGAACTCATAAGACAAACCTGTTTAACAATATAACACCCTGCTCTTCGATTTGCTATCAAATTATCTTTGAGGGGGTACCATAGGAGAGATTAAAATATCAGCCGAAAGGCCAGTGTTTTCATGTAAACACTCCAGAAAACCTTAGGAGTCAAAAATGTACAGTGGACAAAGCACCAGACCTAAAGTTAGAACACCTGATTTCCAGTGCCAATTCTGTTCTTCTTGACATAGAAATGACTTCTTTCTCACTGAGCCTCAGCTTCCACACTTGTAACAAGTACATTACAAACAGGGACTTTATGGTGGTTAAAAGAATTAATTTATTCATTTAATAACGATTACATGCCAAGAACTGTACTAAACATTAGAGATGTGGTAGTATACTGCCCCTATTGTGTGTATGTATGTGTATGTAAAAGAAGAGAGTGGGAGGAAGAGGAGGAGGAGGAGGTGAAGAAGGAGGAGGAGGAAGAAGAGGGGGGGGAGGGGGGAGCAGAAGAAGAAAGGAGGAGGAGGAAGAGAGAGGAGGAAAGAGGAGAGACCTCAGATTGGTTATCATGAAAATCAGAATTTCTTTGTTCCAGCACTTGCATATCGAAGTCAGCAGTTCTGTAGCCACTTGAGTGATCCTAGAATCTTCACTCCATGAGAAGAAAATCTTAAGGAGAGAAAACCACCAAGACAGGCTTTTTAAAAGACATTCATTAGCTGTTACATCTGAATTTCCTCTATTTAGGCCATATCTTATATCCCTAACCATATAAACCTACATATACATTGAATGCATCCTTTGTATTAAGTGAATACTTAGAATTTTCAGAACAGTTAACACATACTAATTACTGCAAACAGATACTATAAACGTATAACCAAGATAAACAAAATAATTTATTTAATGATAATTGAGCTATTCAAATTATTTAAGTACTTAGGATGTTTTAGAGGTGATTAATTTTTTATTTGTAGGATTGTCTCCACCTAAGAATCCTGTAGTATTGTATATAGTGTTAATCCAGTGTTACCCTTAAATGTATACAACCATAAGTTTGAGCATCCACTTGATAAATTGCTGAGTTTGAGGAGTCATTAGGGGAGGAGAGTGGTGTATGGGAGATTCAGACTGAATGCACTTACTAGGGTTATATAATTGCATTTTACTCTGTATCTCTTTTGAGTTAAAAGCTGTATTGGCTACTGCACAGAATCTTATTCATTTAGAGACAAGAAACTCCCTGACAGATCATCTTATAGCTATTTTCTTTCCTGTTCCACATGCCAGGATGTTTTGTCAAATAAAGCTATCTACAATAGACTTAATGGGCCTTACCAAATAGCTTTTCTCCCAGAAGGTTTCAATTCATTTTAATTCCAGGACTTTTGCGCATTTTTCTCCCCCTAGATCGTATCTAATTGTGTTATCTTGCTTCTGTAGTATTCAACTACAGAATTCCTGTTCACTATGAGCTAGTAAGCAGGTCCTCAGTTTTTATCTAAATCAGTTACATTGTAGTTATCACTTGGTTCCAATTAAAAGCTTAAGGAACTAGATCTCCAAGTTGATTTTTTTTCCCTCTCTCCATGCTACCAAAGTTGAATTCCAGGAGTCTATAACCTATTTCTGGTTAAATTTTACTTCCCAGAGAAACTAAGAGTCAAAGCTCGCCTAGCAGTTTCAGTTACATTTCCTTGGAGTGCCACAGAATTTCTGTTCTTCAAGGTACTCTATACTTGCCAGGCCATATTTGTGATACACTACTGGAAATACCCTTGCCATAAAAGAAAGGACTTCTGTGTTCAAAGGTTGAAAAGGTTGAAGAGGAAAAATCAAATCAAAGCAAATCATCGTAGTATGAAACTATTTCATTCTATTGTTAGCCATGATGGAAAGTACATGGACCCAGTAAACATAACAACAGATGTTTCCTTTCAATATCTATCTTCTGCCTTGTTCACTAGTGGTTCTCAGATTTGGTACATATAAGAATCATTGGAACTCTAGCCGGTTTGGCTCAGTGGATAGAGCGTTGGTCTGTGGACTGAAAGATCCTGGGTTTAATTCTGGTCAAGGGCACATGCCTGGGTTGTGGGTTAGATCCCCAGTGGGGGGCATGCAGGAGGCAGCCAGTCAATGATTTTCTCTCATTATTGATGTTTCCATCTCTCTCCCTTCCTCTCTGAAATCAATAAAAAATATATATTTTTAAAAATAAAAAAGAATCATTGGATTTCTTTTAAAAATTTCCATTTCTGGGCTGCAGAATCTGATTCAATATGTCTGTAATAGGGTTTGGTAATCTGCATTTTACCAGGCATCCTAAATGATTTGGTTCTCAACCTGTGGGTCGCGACCATTGGAAAACACATATAGCATATCAGATATTTACATTACGATTCATAACAGTAGCAAAATTACAGTTATGAAGTAGCAACGAAAATAATTTTTCGGTTGGGGGTCACCACAACATGAGGAACTGTATTAAAGGGTCGCGGCATTAGGAAGGTTGAGAACCACTGATTTAGATGCTAGTGGTCCAGAGAGCACATCTGGCCAGATTGACTTAGACTAATTCTCCTTCTTTGTTCTAGCCAACTTTTCTCTTCCCTTGGTATCCAGTCTCCTTCCTTCTGTCCTCAAACCTCCCATTATTCCCACTTAAGGAGTTTTATCAATTAATTAACAAGTATTGTATCTTATAAACTGATAGAAATAGAGATATATATAAATCCACATAAAATAAAAGAAATATCACTTGGTGCTAACCTGGAAGTTACTGATTAGAATGTAGTAAAAGGCAAGAGATTATTAGCATGGGTCACAGTATTCACAGTCAGTGAAAGTTGATCAGGGCCTTGAAAGATGAATAGGTTTCAATAAGAGGAAGAAAAACAAGAAAGCATCTTGATTCAGAGAGGGAAAAGGAGAAGGAGCATGGATCAGAGAGAAATAAGGATGATGTATATAGAGGAATAAAAGATTGAGTGGATAAGATGGGTCCAGATTATGGGGAACCATGAATGTCAAGCTGAGATTTAGCATAGTGGGTAATATAGCACTATAAGCATGTCTCAACAATGGCACTAGTATGATAAAAGCAACATGAATTATTTAATTTAGAAGATAATTTTGTATTAAGAGAGACCAGCCAGAGACTTTTATAGGAATTGAGATATGACGTGATGAAGGTTGGGACAAAAGTGAAGGCAACAGAAACTTATTTTAAAAATGGTAGAAGAAAAGGAAACAATAGAAAATATGAATTAAAGATGCTAGGAGTCATTTGGGGGAAATAAATGAAAGTCTTTGGTGCCAGATTGGATATAGATGATGAAGAAAAAGAAAGAACACAGAATGAATCTAGGTTTTCTATTCTGGGAAATTGGAAGCTTGGTAGTTTCATTAGTTCACTAAAACTGTTATAATAAAGTATCACAAATAGAGTGGTTGAAACAACAGGAATTTATTTTCTCAGTTAGTTCTGGAGGCTAGAAATCTGAGAGCAAGGTGTCAGCAGAGTTGGTTTCTTTTGAGAGCTATGAGAATCTGCCCCACGCCTCTCTCCTAGCTTCTGGAGGTTTGCTGGCAATCATTGGCCTTCCATGAAATCAGGGTTGAAGAAAGTAGGAGTAGAAAATGGTAATACATAGATGTTGGCTAAGTGTGAGTGAGTGTGAAAGACAAATGAGAAAGAAGAGCAAAGGGCTGAATACATAACTTTGGGGGCTATCCCCAATAAAGAAAAAGAAAAGGAAGAAGTGAAAGACCCATGAGCAAGGACCACCTTGATTTCCAATTTGGCTAAAATTCTTAAAATACACGATGATAGTTCCCAGAAATGATTAAGAACGTGTAGGAAACACTTCATGTACACATAACAAGATTTTGAATAAACTTACTGCTTCTTTCATCAA